AAAATGCCTTTGTTTTCTTCATTTTGGAAGCCATTTGCATTTTTTATATTTCAAATTTAATGGATGCAAAGATATTCTATTTAATAAAAAGTATAATGTGTAAACATTTATACAACATACAGCAAAAATAAAGTGCAAAAATCAAAACAAACAATGCTGCTAAATTTATTGTTTTGAAATCGCGATCCGCGAGCTGAAACATGCTCAAAATTTTTTTTTTTTATTTTTTTTTTTAAATTACAATTCTAAGTTCGTTATAAGCATAGTATTTTTAATAGATTTTATCATTTTGGGACCCGAAATAGGTTCGTTATAGGGGTAGTTCGTTATTCTAAAAATCGCAAAGTTCGTTATAACGATGGTATTTTCAATGGAATGGAATTGGGAATCGGCGTGGGTTCGTTATAAGGGAAGGTTCGTTATATCCAGGGTTCGTATTAGCGGGGTTTTACTGTATATGCATTTATTTAAGGAACGACCCGCTCCAACACAATAGTTACAAAAACGAAAATGCGAGTGGGGGGGCAAAGATGGCGTGATCGTAGCCGACCAATAGGAGGGCACCATTCCAAAAAAAAAGCAAACCGTGACAGAGGCAACGAAGAATGACGCTCGTAACTGTATATAGATTACTGTAGGATGGTAGAGACCTGTTGGTTTTCATGTTGAAAACTGCTTAAGCAAGGTTCCATTACTGATATAAGCCAAACTTTCTTTATATATATTTTTTCATCTTTCAATCAGGGATTCAGTAATACCTTATAAGAATAAACCCAGTTTCTTCCCTGGTCCAGTAGAACTCTCTAAAGGACAATACTTAGTTGCAGAGCCAAGATGTCCTCTTACCGAAGAAGCAGCTAATTAATAAAAATGGTTCTTAAAATTAAAGATACTTCGGCCAGAATAAATCTTTTTGAGAATAATATTTAACGCCTTGCTAAATGCTTTTAATTTTTATTTGCCCCTGATGAGGACAAAAGATTTTTTGACGAAAAATTGAGATGATAAAAAGATTTATACTGGCTGAAGTTATCTTTAATTTTAAGAACTATATATGAGGCAGCCTCTATCTTTACAATAGTAAAAATGGTCATTTTTGTGATGAAAACTGTCCTTTGTAGAGAAGATGTCTCCTAATGAGAGTGTCCTCTCATGGAGTATGTTCTACTGTAGAGGGTCTTTCATTAGAAGATGGATCAATACAGGAATTCTGCTGATGACCACACAACCAACACCCAATCTACTATCACCTGTGGTGGTGTCTTGTCCATGGAGCAGATCAGATCGGTCCGTGCACCCTGATCACAATACCGGCCAACTGAGGTGGTGGTGGTGTCTTGTCCATGGAGCAGATCAGATCGGTCCGTGCACCCTGATCACAATACCGGCCAACTGAGGTGGTGGTGGTGTCTTGTCCATGGAGCAGATCAGATCGGTCCGTGCACCCTGATCACAATACCGGCCAACTGAGGTGGTGGTGGTGTCTTGTCCATGGAGCAGATCAGATCGGTCCGTGCACCCTGATCACAATACCGGCCAACTGAGGTGGTGGTGTCTTTTCCATGGAGCAGATCAGATCAGGCCGTGCACCCTGATCACAATACCGGCCAACTGAGGTGGTGGTGTCTTTTCCATGGAGCAGATCAGATCAGTCCGTGCACCCTGATCATAATACCGGCCAACTGAGGTGGTGGTGTCTTGTCCATGGAGCAGATCAGATCGGTCCGTGCACCCTGATCATAATACCGGCCAATTGTGGTGGTGGTGTCTTGTCCATGGAGCAGATCAGATCGGTCCGTGCACCCTGATCACAATACCGGCCAACTGAGGTGGTGGTGTCTTGTCCATGGAGCAGATCAGATCAGTCCATGCACCCTGATCACAATACCGGACAACTGAGGTGGTGGTGGTGTCTTGTCCATGGAGCAGATCAGATCGGTCCATGCACCCTGATCACAATATCGGCCAACAAAGGTGCCTTGTTCATATGGATGTCCTCTTCTGGATTGACCTATAAGTCCTTAATAAACTGATACAACTCCAGAACAACAATCGATCTAAACATGATCCTTGCTGGTGTCCAGATTAAAAATAAGCCATGCTAAAAACAACCTCCTTCAACAAAAAATTAAATAGAATTCCCTTGTGTTCTAAATGTCACTAGTGAATCTATAGCCTCACTTCACCACACTCATGGACAAAACTTAAGGAAGTTGTACTTTTTAGCATGTATATCGGGATTAAGGCAATAACTCTGAAAGATATTACAGTGACCTTTATTGAAGACACACGAGATAACCAAGTGTGTAACAAAATTGCCTCTGTCTCCTTAAAAAAAATCAGACAACTGATGAACATCAAAGGCTTTCCACTTCCTTAAGTTTTGTCTACAAGATCTATCAAAACATTCTAGAAATGATTTTTTTAATCAACAAAATACAAGAAAATAAGACCTAATCCAAATAATTTAATAGTGTGTGACGTTTCGACAACAGCATTGTTAATTTTCATTTATTCTTTTGTCTGATTATAAACAATGCTGTTGCCGAAACGTCACACACTATTATTTGAATTAGGTCTTATTTTCTTGAATCTATAATCCAAATTGTGCTTTATCATAATGAATAAAATAAATGACATGAGTGCATGTTTTTTTTTTTTTTTTTGCTTATCCCTAGTACACATGGTACAGGCCATGATAATCATGGTGGGTAGTTAGCAACTACTTTTTACTGTAAGCGCATCACATGTCTACACATGTGAAAGCAGTTCGACTTTACACTTACAAATGTGCCAGAGCCCCGTTTGGTTACTTGCACTCGCTGGTGGGGTTTGGACTTTTTAAAGAATCGGGGGGGCCATTGGAGCATTTTTTTTTTTTTAAACAGAAAAAAAGTGTCCAATGCGGGAATCGAACCCGGGTTGTAGTGGTCGAAAACCAAATGGTTTAACCAGCCTTCCACCAACCCCCTATAATCAACATAATAAATGACATGAGTGCATGTGTAAAAAAGGTATGTAAAGAAGAAAACACAAGACAGAATATAATATATATAAAAAAGAAAACAAATTTATTATACTTTTTTATTCTTTTCATTTATATATATGTACTAAAAAAAACTAAAGATTTATTATGGAGAGAGAGAGAGAGAGGATGAAGAGATACAATGACACACCAACAAAGTGATAAAAGAAAAATGTACAAAAATAAAGATTTTTTTCTTAAATAAAGCAAAGAGGGAATGAGAGTGTTTTATAACAAATATATTTCTTATAGTAAGAATATGGTATTTTGTAGCATATTGTAGTAAGTATAAATACATATATATATATAGGTACCAAAAAATGGCACCTCTCCCTTTTAAAAATGCATTTATCACCTGGGTACAAATCTAGTGGTGATGATAAATAATGAGCCACAATCCAATTTTGGTCAAATTCAGACAAAAAAGCCAACCATGGTTTTGAGCCTCATCAGTATAGAGGTGGGTTTGATTTTATGATATTTTAAAGGGAGAGGTGCTATTTTTGATATATAAATACCATCCTCCCGCAATTTTATATTATATGCATATATGTTATAAGTATGCAAATGTATCACACTAGATTTTTCCCCCCACAAAAAAAAAAATGGAAGATAAATGACCATGTTTTATATTTTTTTTTTGACAATTCACAACATCTTTCAAAGAGAATGGAAACAAAACAAAGAAGTTCCCACAGTTATTTGTTTACAAAGTACGGTAAACACAAGGTTGGGATTATATATATATAAAAAAAAGAAATATTTTTAAATTTTCAAATTGAGCAAAAAATTTGTTAGTTAATATTACATCAATTTTGGGAACAATCTCAAACATTTATATATAAAATTCTCCATTTACTGTATTTATTAAGACCAGACACACAGCAAGTTTTTATATAGAATTTAAATAAATTGTTACATTCTATATCAAAAAACCTGGAAATCCACAATAACAAACTAAAAAATACATTATTTATACACATATATTTAAATATATATATATATAGAATGGGTCTCTAAAGACATTTAAAAAAATTGTTATTTACAAATTTTTTATCTCTTAATAATAATATAAATATTGAGCGCAAATTTTCCCTCCACATTATTTCAACACACAGAAAAAAATACAAAAAAAAAAATATTTATTAGTCTTAATAAGTCCATTAGGATGCTAGTAGTGTTTAGTATGATCAAGAGATGAATGTTAATTTTTTATCTATTCAAAAATTATTTCTTTATTTGTGTTTTACTTATAAAATACTGAATATCATTTTTAAATGAGTTCAGAGTCTTAATTTCTTTTTTTGCTTATCCCTAGTACACGTGGTACAGGCCATGATAATCATGGTGGGTAGTTAGCGACTGCTTTTATTGTAAGCGCACCACATGTCTACACATGTGAAAAGCAGTTCGACTTTGCAGTTACAAATGTGCCAGAGCCCCGTTTAGTTACTTGCACTCGCTGGTGGGGTTGGACTTTTGCAAGAATCGGGGGTCATTGGAGCATTTTTTTTTAAACAGAAAAAAAGTGTCCAATGCGGGAATCGAAACCGGGTCGTAGTGGTTGAAAACCAAACGGTTTAACCAGCCTTCCACCGAATTCCCTAATTTGCCTATAGTGATGCAAGCTGCATTTGGGGATATTGGGCTTCCCATTGTTACACCTTCCATTTGAAGATTCATTTTATCCAAAAGACATGTGCTTCAATTAATAGAATGGAAGAAAAAGGAAATATAAATGATATCTACAGATATGCCTTTAAAATTATATTGTGTTTTACTTGTTATTAAGATTTTAAAACTTCTTGAATACCCAAGGTAATGAAACCATGAATCCAAATAAATAAATAATGTGTGATGTTTCGGTAACAGCATTGTTACCATCTTCAGACAAAAGTATTTAATGAAAAATTAGAAAGAGAATATGGTTTTACAAGTTACTAACCAAAGTGTATGATTTATGAGCCCAAAAAAGTTCCCACGCCTGGAATTGAACTCAGGCCTCTTTGGAGAGAGCCAGGTATCCTAGCTACTAGACCACGTGGGAAAAAAAAATTATACCACAGCATGTTTTAAATAGTTACTGTTATCAAGTGTGTAAACAAGATACCAGGGAAAACAAGAAGATAGTTTTCTAAGAATCCTAAAAGCCTTACCCTTCTTGAATACCTTGATAAAAGATTTATATAAAAAAAAGCATACCTGGATCTTTAAAAAAAAAAATTAAATTAAAATATTCCATAGATTGCTTTTTGACTTAAACTTGATAAAAGAGTTTCGCTGTATTTTATTTATGCAAATTTAACCTCTATGAGAGGACATACTCCCATTAGAAGACACTATTATAAAATGGACAGCATTCATTACCAAAATTACCATTTTTTTAACTCCGCCTTTGCCGGTCCCAAGCCAGGATGAGAAAGGAGGAGGGGGAGCAGTAACAAGCTCACTAAAAAACCTGGGTTCGGCTGGCCCGGCTGATAGTACCCTGTAAGGGCTCCTAATCCAGGGATACAGGATGAGCAGCGTTTGTACTCCATGTTAGGAGCAGCTGCACATGGCATCTGTTCCTCATGTCAGAGGCGGCCATTTCTTTTGGAGCTAAGTCAACCTGCCACTGAGTAGTGCTCCCAGTCTTAATGACAAAGACAGACACATTCTACTTCACCCAGTCATGATGGTCCCCCATTTTTTTACTAATTAGCAACTCTCCAGTAAGAGGATACTTTTTTCTAAAAGACATTTTTGTTCTGGAACTAGGTGTTGTTCTTTACATATAGGTTCTACTATTATTTTTAAAACTCTTTAATATAGGAATTTACATATATAAATGATGACCCTGCTATGGAAAAAAAGTTGTAAAAAATGTCCAATAATAAAAGTGGGGTGATCTTAGCCTAAAGGTTGAGAAGCGATTTATATTTTCAAATCTGATGAAGGATATTTGCTGAAAAAATAAAGATTTAGTTTATTTCTGACTGAGATACAGTTAAACCTGTCTATAGCGCCCCCTCTTGGGACTTAACAAAATAGGGTGCTATAGAGAGGTCACTTTTAATGTAAATCGCATCGTACTACCTATTTAAAATCGGGCGCTATAGAGAGGGAGGTGCTATTTAGAGGGGCTGTTATAGACAGGTTTAACTGTATGTGAATTTTTGAATACTTGTCAGCACAGTAGACCTTTTTTATAAACATAATAAAGCTTATAAACTCGTTAAAAGTGTAATAAATAAACTTATACTCGGAGATTTATATTTGATTAATTGATACAGAGGAGTATAATAAGATAATAAAACCAAATAGTCTGTGATGTTTCAGTAACAACATTGTTATGCCATACATTATTTATTTGGTCTTACAGTAGAACCTCTATAAAGGACAACACCTAGTTGCAGAGTAAAAGTTTTCTTTAGAGAGAGGTGTTATTTTAGTGAAGAGTTTCTAATTAGTAAAATTGGTGATGAAAACTTTTCTTAGTATAGAGATGCCAGTTAGTAAAGGTGTCTTCTCATGGAGGTTCTACTACTGTATCACAATTTGGATATAGATTATAAACACAGGTCTTCTTCTTTCTTATCTTCACTCAATCATATTAAGATATCAAGCTTGTAAAGCTTGAGACTTTTGATGGTGTCTGCCGGGGGACAATCATCATGATTGGATGAAGTAGAATGTGTCTGCCTTTGTCATTAAGACATGGAGCACTACTCAGTGGCAGGCCGACTTAGCTCCAAAAGAAATGGCCGCCTCTGACATGAGGAACAGACACCATGTACACAGCTGCTCCTAACATGGAGTACAAATGCTACTCATCCTGTATCTCTGGATTAGGAGCCCTTACAAGGTACTATCAGCCAAATAGTGTGTGTGTGACACACTATTCATTTATTTGGATTTGGTTTTATTACCTTGTGTTTCTAATCTATAATCCAAATTGTATACCTTATCATAGAACCTCTTATGATAGACCAACTTAAAAATGTAGTCACTCCTGGAGATGGACTCTCATTGGAGGTTTGATTATGCTCAGATAAAGTTTATTCAGTTTGATTTTCACAAAGGTGGTTTACAGCTGAGAAGGCTTGTAAGTACCAGCTCTCTGTCATTATCCAAATTCCTAGTTAACAGATTGTACCAAGTTTCATTATAATTGAAGATCCTAAATACATGGACTATTAAAATATATATTTATTTAACCACAAATAATTCAGCTTATAAACACAAGTTAATAAGACCAAATCCAAATAAATATAGTCTTATTACCTTGTGTTTATAATCTATAATCCAAGCTAAGTCCTAGCTAAGCTCCTCCGAGCTAAGTCGGCCTGCCACTGAGTAGTGCTCCCAGTCTTAATGACAAAGGCAGATGCATTCTACTTCATCCAGTCATGATGGTTGTCAAACAGACACCATCAAGGGTCACAACTTGATACCCTAATGATTGAGTGGAGATAAGAAAGAAGAAGATCTATAATCCAAATTGTGCCTTATCATAATTCAGTTTATAAAAATGATTTTATTTTTCAGACCAATAATTTTGTTTTACTCTTTTTTTTTCTCTCCCCAGATTCCCTCCAATATATAATCTCAATAAGTGAGAGATATTTATCCTGTCGAAGGGCTGATAAGTCCAAAAGCTTGAGAAAATAAAAAAAGTTATACAGTGGAGCCTCCCTGTAGAGGACACTTAAATGCAGAGACAAAAATTTTGCAAATGGAAACTGTCCTTTGTAGAAAGATGACCTCTAGTGCGAGTGTCCTCTCATGGAGGTTCTACTGTAGAGAGGTGTCCTCTAATATGTATGTCCTCTCATGGAGGTTTTACTGTAGAGAGGTGTCCTCTAGCGGGAGTGTCCTCTCATGGAGGTTTTACTGTAGAGAGGTGTCCTCTAATATGTATGTCCTCTCATGGAGGTTCTACTGTAGAGAGGTGTCCTCTCATGGAGGTTCTACTGTAGAGAGGTGTCCTCTAATATGTGTGTCCTCTCATGGAGGTTTTACTGTAGAAAGGTGTCCTCTAGCGGGAGTGTCCTCTCATGGAGTATGTTCTACTGTAGAGAGGTGTCCTCTAGTGGGAGTGTATTCTCTCATGGAAGTTGTACTGTAGAGAGGTGTCCTCTAGTGGGAGTGTCCTCTCATGGAGGTTTTACTGTAGAGAGGTGTCCTCTAGCGTGAGTGTCCTCTCATGGAGGTTCTACTGTAGAGAGGTGTCCTCTAGCCGAAATGTCCTCTCACTGTGGTTTTACTGTATTACAAATTTGTAATGCTGGTTTATTTAGCCATTTAAAAAAAGTTTTATGTTGTGTTAACCTTATTTTCAAATGTTTCAAATTCATTATGTTTGTTCATATTATCAATAAAATAAGCTTGGCAAGATTGGTTTGGAATTCTTATGACAAAATAAGACAACGTGTAAATAGGAAATCAATTGTAAAAAACAACACAATTTTATATCAATATAATAAAAATAAATAAATCCACCATAAATGTTATATAAATAAATAAATAATAAAGAGATTTTTTCCCACATATATTTATTATATATATATATATATATATATATATATATATATATATATATATAAATCTATATACAAATTATGGCTGGGTTAAGTATTATAAATAAAAAAAAGTGGGTGGACGAGTGGGTAACACCCTCGATTCCTGACAGCCATGAACCAGGATTGAATCCAGCGTTAACATTTTGTTTAATATGTGAATAACCTTCACATATTATTCATTGTTTCAATTTTCATAAACTAGGTTGCTCTTGTTGAGTGGTACCTAATAAAGTGATTTTGAACTGGTTAAGTATTATAAAATTATTTTTATATATTGACATTCACACATTATGTTTCTATACAGTAAAACCCCTCTATAGCAAACCCCATCATGATTGAACCTGTGGTTTACTATAGCCATGGTTTGTGATAGCCATAGTTCACTGTATTATTAAATAAAAATGGAAATTTTTTCAGGTTCGGAGAAGGGTTCACTATATCCCAGGTTCATTTTATCAAGGTTTTACTGCATTAGGATTGATTATTTCAATCCTCCTAATAAAAATTTGTGTTTATCAAGACAACAAATCCCTGTTCTCTGCCAAAAACATATCATCAAAATTACTGTTGATTCTCTATTTAAGCCTCATCATCGAGAAAAATCTAAAATTTCTGGTCTTAATTCCAATTTTAGGGTCTTTTTCTTAACAAGACCTACAGATCCATTTGTAATGTTTTTTACAAACTATAAAAGAAAATATGAGAAAAAAAAGATGATAAATAATTGAATGTAGAATTTTTGTTTTTCTCTAAATGCCATTTTTCTTTAAAACATACACAGTCAAACCTCATTATAATAATTTATCCTGGGAACCAAGATTTTAATGTTGTTATAACCATGAATATCATTCTATATACAGTTACGAGCGTCATCATCTCTGTCACCGTTTGCTTTTTTTTTTTTGGAATGGCGCTCTCCTATTGGTTGGCTACGATCACGTGGCTACGATGGCGCCGACACTACGCGAGACACTTTGTTTTTGACTTTGCCCCCCCCACTCGCTTTTTGGTTTTTGTAACTATTGTGTTGGAGTGGGTCGTTCTTAAATAAATGCATATATTAGTTAATAACTAAATGGAATCCTCTCTTTCTTTTTCCCAGTAAGAGACGCCTACGGAAGCCAACAGTACATAGACAGATAAAGCACATAGGCTATAGTTATTAACTAACATATGCATTTATTTAAGGCGCCAATTTATAATTGTAACAAATAGTATTTGAATCAAAACATTCAATCGGGTAAAACACGGGAGTTGCCCGGGTCATTCGGCTAGTGTTGTTATAAATACAAGGTAATAAGACCAAATCCAAATAAATAATTAGTGTGTGATGTTTCTTTAACAGCATTATTACCATCTTCAGACAAAAGTACTGAACTGAGTATAAAAGTATCATTCAATGCTTTAGTCTAATGGTAACAACGCTGTTATTGAAATGTCACATACTAATTATTTATTTGGTCTTATTACCTTGTGTTTATAA